TTAGTAATGCTTTCTAAGCCCCATTTAACTTCACGTTTCAGGATGTCTGGCTCGAGGTCAGTGATTATACCGTCGTGGTTGTCAAGGACATCGAGGTCTTTCCTGTATAGTTGTTCTGTGTATTCTTGCCATCATTTCCTAATCTCTTCTGTGTTAGGTCCCTACCGTTTTTGTCCTTTATCATGGCCATCTTTGCATGGAACGCTCCCTTGATTTCTCCAATTTTCTTGAAGAGATCTTTAGTCCTTCTCATTCTATTGTTTTCCTCTATTTGCATTGTTCATTCAGGAAGGCCTCCTTATCTCTCCTTGCTGTTCTCTGGAAATCTGCATTCAGTTGGATAAATCTTTCCTTTTTGCCTTTGCCTTTCGCTTTCCTTCTTTCCTCTTCTATTTGTAAAGCCTCATCAGACAGCCACTTTGCTTTCTTGCATTTCTTTTTCTTTGGGATGGTGGTGATTGCTGCCTCCTGTACAATGTCACGAACCTCCGTCCATAGTTCTTCAGGCACTCTATCTATAGTCCCTTGAATCTATTCATCACCTCTACTGTATATTCATCAGGAATGCAATCTAGGTCAAACCTGAATGGCCTAGTGGTTTTCCCAATTTTCTTCAGTTTAAGTCTGAATTTTGCAATGAGTAGCTCATGATCTGAGCCACAGTCAGCTCCAGGTCTTGTTTTTACTGACTGGATAGAGCTTCTCCATCTTTGACTGCAAATTATATAGTCAGTCTGATTTCGGTGTTGCCCATCTGGTGATGTCCATATGTAGAGTCGTCTCTTCGGTTGTTGGAAAAGGGTGTTCGCTATGACCGCTATGACCAAGTGTGATCCACTGGAGAAGGAAATGGCAACCCACTCCAGTATCTTTGCCAAGAAAACCCCATGGACAGTATCAAAAGAAGTATAATATGAAGATTTAAATGTGTCCAATTTTTTCCACAATTTGCTATAATGTATATAATGTATATGAAGATGATGTATAGTATTCTCTCCATTGTCTTCAATGTTACAAAGTTTAACTTGATTTCCAAATGTGCTGTTAGTCCTGTTGTAACAGTATGACAAGACTCCAGTGCTTCTGGAAATATTATATCACTAATCCCCCCTTGCCAATTCTTGCAAGTCCCCATCTTATTCTTTCTAGCAATGAAATGGTTGAATGGTCCCATGTTAATGAAAAGCAGCACAACAGCATCAGTCAGAAAGTACCTGGGGCACCTCTAGTTATACAGAAAATATTTAGTTTTCAGTTGCCCCTATACCCCCCCCCCAAAAAAAAAAAAAACCAAAAGAGCACTGCATATATACAATCATCAACGGTTCTCATTTGGCTGGGTGAAAGCAAGTGTTTACTCACAGAGTTTAAACTGCTACCTGCACATCAAGCATGCCATAGGGCAATCAACTCTGTAGTGTAGCTAAGCTGAAAATGGAAACTTCAGACTCCAGTAGTGCAATCCTAATCAGGATTTAGCAATGGGACTTACTCCCAGGAAAGGGTTCATTGGATCACACTGCACATTTCAAGTTTCTGTTTTGCAGGAATATGGGGCATTTAGCCTCATATTATTCCTATTGGGGAACATGGGAAATTAAGTGTAAGCTACTGTGAACTCCCATCTTTTCCCATACAAGAGTTGCAAACAAGGCCTTTGTGTATGAAGAGCTGCTTGTCCTTTTTCAAAGGCTGGAAACAGCAGCATGGTTCTATAAAACCCAATGTTCTGAAATTGATTCCCTGGGGAAAACTTTTCTATGGCACTGTAGTTGTAGAGAAGGTAAGGAGCAAGCCATTTTTTGCCCTCCTGTCCAGCTCCTTAGAGCATTTTCTCTTTGGGGCTGCATTTCAGAGTGTTTGGGGGTTCAAGAACCATCTTGCTGTTTCTCACTGGGGAAACAGCAAGGCAGCTGTTCTAAACCCCAAAGATCTGCAGGTCAGTCCTACAAATGGAGATCTGTAACTCATGCCCCACAGTGAAGCTTCCATATTTTGCTAAATTTAAGGGCTCCCAACAACCTGCAACGTTTTGCTGCTTGTGTGTGTGAAATCAAAATTCAGAGTATTGTACAATGGAAGGATGACATGTTTGTTCACTCAGAACTTCACCTTTTAATGCAACAGAAAACAACTCAATACATATTGCGAGAAACAGAGCTGATAAAAGTTACCGTTGCCCTGTAGCGTTTCCTATTTAACTGCATTAACCAAAATATTAAGTCTTTGACAGTGCAGTGCTATACAGAATCACTCTACTCTAGAGTAGGCCCATTGAATAATGCCATCACTTGTATAGCCACTGAATAGGTTTATGTAACTAATGCAAGGGTGAACCAATACCGAGAAATAGAAATCTAAAACCATTTTAGACAAGTCACACATGGTCTTATATCAAATTCTAAAACTGAAGCTCCTTACATTGGCTGAATGTATTATGGTGTGCTCTCAAAGCAGCTGTGCTAATCCTTGGCTTTTCTTGTTATAGGGTGGTAGACATGTGGACTATGTTGCTGATCAGGTTGTCAATAAGCTCCTGGAAGTGGTGAAGAAGAAAAACAAAGCTGGCGTTGGAGTGAAGCCCTTTCAGGTGCAAGGCCCAAATCTTATTGATTATAACTGTTCACAATTTTTTATGCCACTTGCTTATGCAAACATAGGGTTGGATCCAGTCTAAATTTTCCAATGGCAGGATGGAACTTGGCTGCCTCCCTCCTCCCACTGCAGCCCACGTGTTCTCCCAGGACTGCTGTTCCTGGGGGTTAGGGGGCCCTGAGGAATGGGGAGTCGGCAGGTGTTGCCAATTAGGTCTGGATCCAACTCACTGGTTTCTTTGTCCTTTATTTTACTACAGTTTTAAAGATTGCCTTGCTGCCAAAGTTCTTAATTCTGTGGTGTGAAAGTGCATTTGGGACTTAATTTGCACCATCTAACTATCTGTGCATAGCCTATAATTCTAAATGTGGATTAACCAATATGACATCCTTTAACTTGAGGATGACGCTTGTGAAGGGATACAGAGATGGGTGTGTCTCTCGCTTATCAAATAATTGGGAATGTTGCTGTCTGTATTGGGTGCATCTTTTTCAAACCCCTCAAATTCTTCATCTTGTACCCTTATTGTAGTCCAGGAGTCCTGCTTTCCTTTGCATCTTTATAAAGGAATGGGGGCTGTGGCTCAGTGGTTAACTAGATGATTTGCAGTAGGTTGGATAGGGCTGAGCTAAATGGAGCTATGATGTGATCACAGCTTCATGTGTCAGGTGCACTGGTAGAGTACATGGTTTGCATGCACAAGGTCCTAGGCTATTCCATCTAAAACAGTAGTAGGTGTTTAGAAAGAATTCCTTTTGCCTAAAATCCTAGCAAGCTGCTGCTAGTCATAATACACAGTTCTGTACTAAATGAAGCAAGAGATAATGGAGCTTCTTATATATTTTGTTCTAACACATCTTGCTTGTTACCCTCCACCCAGTCACTTCTTGGCAGATGTGTACATGCTTTTGCTGGAACACAGTCTTGGTAGACATGCTTTGTTCATAATCCAGAAGTTTATTTATTAAACATCGTGGTTAGCATCCCACCAAATGGTAAATGTCTGAGTGAGCAGCTGTATTGTACTTTTGCAGTTGGGGAGGGATGAGATAAAATAAATAAGATTATCAAATAACCTAAATGTTTTGCAGTCTGTAACAACTCCTGCGTTTATTCTAGGTGAAGAGCCATATCTGGGTCTTCATAAATGCCCTGATTGAAAATCCAACTTTTGACTCGCAAACAAAGGAGAATATGACGCTTCAAGCAAAGAGCTTTGGCTCTACGTGCAAGCTGAGTGAAAAGTTTATCAAGGGGGTATGTGCTGTAAGGGGCATCGGGGGTGTGGGGGCTAGGGATGACTTTCACTCATAGCTTGGGTGCAGAGTAGATTCTGACTGAAGCAGCAGACAAATGCAGCCAGATGGCATGCTTCAGGCTTGTTTCTATAGACAACGCTTTGCATTCTAGGTAGTTGGTTGCGGCATAGTGGAGAGCATCCTGAACTGGGTGAGCTTCAAAGCTCAGACACAGCTCAACAAGAAGTGTTCATCTGTGAAACACACTAGGATCAAAGGAATTCCTAAACTGGACGATGCCAACGATGCTGGTATGTTGTACTCTGGCCAAACCTATAAATACCTCACGGGTTGCTCCATTGGAAGAGTTACAGAGTTGGCGAGAGGATGGATGTGGCATTCTTGCTTTGTGTACGCTGCACCCTGACCTCAAGGGCTGAGAGCAACTGAATCATGCTCCTTTGATGCTCACCTCTTGCTAATTGTGCCCCACCAGAAGGTGAGGAAAAATTAGGGATGTGTGTTTGGCATTTCCGAGCAGAATTAATACCCGAATCATGCTTTTTTGGCATGATTCAGGCATTAGTTAAGCTTGATCAGATTAATAAGAGAATCCTGAATTAATTTGGGACTCCTGAATTTTTCAGGTCCATTATACTATATGGGGCAATTATAGGCAATGGCAGATCTTCTAGGGTATATTCAGTGGGATAGGGGGGGGGGTTGATGTAGAGGCACCAAATTTGCAGTGTAGCTGCTGGAGCCTCTCCCCAAAAGAACCCCCAAGTTTCAAAGTGATTGGATCAGGGGGTCTAATTTTGTGGGCACCCAAATGTTTCCAATGGTGGGGTGGGGGAAGCAAGGCAGGCATTCAACAAGCCCAGCAGATTCTCCTAGAGGATCTCTGCAATAGAAAGTAAAGTGTGGGGAGGGGGCATGTTTGCAAGGCTAACAGCAGAACTAGTGCCAAAACCCAACAGGACTAAGGTCAGATCTGAGAATCTCCATTGTTTCCAGTGGTGAAAAAAAGCAAGCCCAGCAGATATTCCCAGAGAGTCTCTGCAGTAGAAAGTGAGGTATGGGGAGAGGGTGTGTTTGCAAGGCCAGCAGCAGAACCAGTGCAACTCTGGCAATGCCAAAACCCAACAGATTCGACCTCTGCAGCTACACTGCAAAGTTGGTGCCTCTGCCTTAAATCCCCCTCCTCCCGCCCGCTGAATATACCCTAGGAGATTTGCCATTGACTCTAATGGCGCCAGAGGGTATAATGGAATACTGATATTGGAATTCAGGTTTTTGAGGCAATACTGAATTTTTAAGGGTCCAAAACCCCCAAATCTGAAAAACACTGAATTTTTTTTTCCTTGCAGAAAATGTGCTTTTGATACTCTGACCTTGGTGTGGCCACTCTCAGTGTATTCTGCTAAATGGAGCAGTCAGTTTTTAAGGTGCATTTATCTTTCCAGGGAGTAAGAACTCCGCCAACTGTACTCTTATTCTGACGGAAGGAGACTCGGCCAAAACACTTGCTGTTTCTGGTCTTGGAATTGTGGGCAGGGACAAATACGGAGTATTTCCCCTGCGTGGCAAAATGCTCAATGTCCGGGAAGCTTCTCACAAACAGGTCAGTTGGAACAAGTTTGGGAAACCACTATGCTGTGTCTTGTCAAGGACTTGGCTTTAGGTACTCGAGAAGCCTGGTTCTCTCCCCCCCCCCCCCCCCCACCCACAAACCAAACATTTTTATTATAACAAACTTACAGCATATAGCAGGTAGGGCAGTATAACATGTTACAATATACAAAGCTGTAATAATATTTCAAAAAGAACAACATATAACTTTAGCTACAACATTTAAATATCTATTATAAATTCAATATTTATTTACCAAAGGTTTAAGTTGTCAATTATCTTTGGTATTTCTTGTTGTGTTAAATACTGTAAAATAGGAAAACATATTGAAATAAAATTCCATAGTTTTGAGTGCCAGTTTTGTCTAGTTGGGCTTATTTTGTTTTTCCACTGTAGTGCAACAGCATTTTTGGCCGCTGATAAGAAAATAGGTACTCTTTGAGCAGGCTTTGGGTTGAGAAGTCTGTTTAAACGGCCGGCAAGTGAACGTGCATTACATATTTTGCAGCAAAGCTGACATGAAATGAAAATGAGACCCTTGGCAATTTGCCTTGTTGACTCTAGAATCGGCACAAGCATAAGAACGTCAGAAGAGCCCTGCTGAATCAAACCAATAGTCCATCTAGTCCAGCGTCCTGTCTCACACAGTGGCCATCCAGTTCTTCTGGAGGGCCAACAACAGGGCATAGAGGCTGAGGCCTTTCCTGATGCTGCCTCGTGGCTCTGGGATTCAGAGGACTAGGGTCTCTGAGTGTGGAGGTTCCCCTCAGCCACCTTAGCTTAGTAGCCATTGATAGACTTATCCTCCATGAATCTATTTAATCCTTTTTTAAAGCTGTTTATTCCTGTGGCCAGCACTACTGCTGCATTCAGCTTATGGGGTGCTATCAGGGTTGTGAGGCACCTGCAGGAACACATCCAGCCTGCGCTAAAAGCACTGCACTGGCTGCCTATAGCGTACTGAATTCGGTTCAAGGTGCTGGTACTTAACCTTTAAAGCCCTTTATGGCCAGGGACCCACATACCTAAAGGACCACCTTTCCCCATATGTTCCCCAGTGAGCCACTGTGATTGGGTACTCAAATTCTACTGGTCCTCCCAGGTCCTGGAGAATCCAGGCTTGCAGCAACAAGGGCCGGGGCCTTCTCAGTGGCAACTCCATACTGATGGAATGAGCTCCCGGAAGACATCAGGGCCCTGCGGGACCTTTTACAGTTCCACAGGTCCTGTAAAACCAAGTTCTTCCACCAGACATTTGACTAAGGAGCCGCCACAACCATTTGAGGCCCTGACCCCAATACCGTCAATATCTTAACACCAACAGTATCCTTAACATCATTGAATAGCCTGTGCCTTGCTGACATGATCCAGACCATGTGCTAATTGATTGTGGACTCCCGCCATGTTGTATGCCATTGCTAGCACTTTATGTATTGTTTTTAGATTTAATTTATTGTAATTTTAACTGAGAAACTGTTTTATCAGTAATAATGTTGTGAGCTGCCCTGCGCCTGCTGCAGCGGGGAGGGCAGGATAGAAGCCAAATAAATAAATAAGTCTATTTATTTCAAAGTGCTATAGAATGAATTAAGCAATTTGAGCAGTAATATATGTTCCAAGCGAGACACAAGGATGGTGAGGGAAGAGCTTTAAAGTTAGCTGGTGATGGGTGTCTATGTGGAAGGGGAGTGGGGGGATGCAGGGTATGTTCAGCATAACAGTATCTCAGCAAGATGGGTAGCTGTTAGTCTTAAGTCTGCAGCAGGAGAAAAGAGCAAGAGTTCAGTAGCACCTGAAAGAGTAACAAAATTTGTGGCAGGGTAGGAGCTTTCGTGAGTTACTGCTCAGTAAGAAGTGAGCAGTAACTCACAAAAGCTTGTCCCCTGCCACAAATTTTGTTATTCTTTAAGGTGCTACTGGACTCTTGCTCTTTGTTACTGCATCTGAGAGTGAAATTCCTGTCTTTTCAGATAATGGAAAATGCTGAAATTAACAACCTCATCAAGATTGTTGGTCTGCAGTATAAGAAGAACTATGATGACCCAGAATCGCTTAAGACCCTGCGGTATGGAAAGATAATGATCATGACAGATCAGGTTAGTCTTTTCTTACCGGGAAAGGGTTCCTCACATTCTGTTGGCAACAGCAGTACCAGGAGCCTAGCAGCTCTTATTAGTGCTTCCTGATCACTTCAGAGTGTTGCCATGGTCCAAATTAAACTTGGAACTGAAGACAATAAGTAACAATATATTTATACCTGAAATATATACCTGGAGTAATACACCCTTGGTATATGTGCAAGGAAGCTTTTTCTGTCATCAGGTTTCGAGTACAACTGGGAAGTCCTGTCAGCTTCTAAATGTTCAGCTGAGCAGAGTGTGTTGCTCTTCAGTTTTCAATAATGTTTTTGGGGTCTTTAAAAAGCTGGCTAAAAACTTTTCAAGAGGAATAACATTGCCTGAGGAACTGTCCTGTTGTACATCAGTCAGGGTACCTACTGATGGCTTAGGAGCTGTCCAGGCAGTTTACTTGGAATTGCTGAGAGATTTAGTGTAATGATCAGAGTTCTTTTCTCCATGGGATAGGTGGGCTGGTGAAGCTTTTCATTAGATGTGAGAGGCATTTGGACTTACAAAATAAAACCAGAGTCCAGTAGCACCTTAAAGACTGTAACAGTATTTACTGCAGCATAAGCTTTTGTGAGCCAGAGCTCACTTCATTAGGTAGTTTGTGTACACCCATTTGGTTGTTGCTTATAATGTTCACATCAGAAAGGGGTGGGATGGAGTGGGGAGAAATGTTACAAAGATGTAGCCCATGTGTGCCTTGATTTCCTGCTGCAAAGGCAGGATGGACACTTTTACCCTGAGCAGCTGGTGGCTGTTGTAAATAAAGGGGGGTAGCCCTGGCTTCATGATGGGATAGGTCTGCCCATTAGTGGCAGACAGAACAGCTGTTCCTCATGTGGCAACGGGGTGCATCCGAGCTTGCTGCTGCTCTGGGAATCAAAAGTAATGCCTCTTTAAAGTTTGTTTTAAATGGGAGGTAGGCCCAGCCTCGAGTCTACTAACTCTTAGAAATATCAGCCTTTTAAAGGGGCATTATTTCCAACAGGCATCTTCTCAGTTGAAAGGAAGATGGTCTGTATACTAGTTAAGGAACCAAAAGACTGGAGTGTGTGCTCCTGGATTTCTTCATAATGGCAGGACTTCTTCCCTTCAAGGGAGAATAACTGATACCTTGAAACTAATTCATGTCGCAGAGCTAACTGAAAGAAGGGAAATTCTGCTTGTTTTAAAACTGCCAGTCTGTGGATGAGGGCCAAGTAGTTAAAATTTTTAAAATCTTAAGTATTCCTGTGGCTCTGCTGATGCTGCATGGTTTATCCTAGATGTTGTTCTGCGCTCTATGGCAGATAGTGCAAATAGTTTTCCAGCGCCTACACTTGCAAGCCAGTGTAGTGGAACGACATCCAAAATTAGCAGGGAGCCATTGTTGGGAAGGCCTCAATCCACCGCTGCACTTAAACCATTCCAGATTATGTCAGTCTAACCTTTTGAAAATTCCTTAATATTGTTCTGTCTTACTAAGAATGTGGCAGTAAGCATCCTGAAACTGGTTGAACTAATAGATGAAGCAAGGTGATGACAGCTAACCCATTGTAGACATTGTTCTGCATTGGTGTTACCTGCTTTCCCTTTTAGCTGGGGAGCTAATGTCTTATGAATCAATTTTGCATAGCGCTTATATGGAAAAGAGCTTTGAAATCATTGTTTGCCTTCGCAATAGTTTTTATTTTTTAATGTTACTGTTGTTCCATCTGAGGTTGTGGGAGGTGTCCTTTATCCAAGCCACTTCAGCGACTCAGTGGCTGAAGTTAGGTCCAAGGCTGTCACTAGGGCAGACTGACATCATCAGCTTGCTTATTGTGTCATAGCATAATGCGAGTGCTAGGGCAACTACGGCAAGGATGTGGAGGTGCCGTAGGAGCAAGCACTGGCTAGTTTTCAAGCCCTTTTAGGCTTGTTCTCTGAAAGGCTGTGACCTCCTGGCATTTGGTAGACATGCTTGCTGCTCTCTTCAGAGCCCCAATGGGTCATATCTGTCTTCTGAAAATATTTTAGGATCAAGATGGCTCCCATATCAAAGGCTTGTTGATTAACTTCATACACCACAACTGGCCTTCTCTACTAAAGCACCGCTTCCTAGAAGAATTCATTACTCCCATTGTAAAGGTGAGCTTCTTTTCTTTCTGGGGTAATGCTGAGCAAGTGAGATATGCTGCTTGAGCTCCATTTTAATACTTAACTGCTCAAAATGTTTCAGTTTGACTTTGGTCTTCATAGGCTTCCAAGAATAAAGAAGAGATTGCTTTCTATAGCATCCCTGAATTTGATGAGTGGAAAACCAGTGTTCCGAACTACAAAACCTGGAAAATCAAGTACTACAAAGGTTTGTCTTAAAAGCCCGTGCAGTAGTGCCAAATGAGCCAAGTAAGAGCTAGTTCATTGTTTAAAATAGTTATGTTTAAGACTGTAATAGGACTGTTTGTAATATACCCCGCTTGGAATCACCAGGGAGACTGGTGAATCGTTGTTGAGGGAACAAATATGGCTCCTTATACATTCTGGAGTGAGAGAATGTTGTCTCTGTCCCAGTTGCTATGTTGTACTTAAATGAAAGGACCTTGAACTTAGCCTTAGCAGGCCTGAGGGTCCATTCAAAGTGCCCTCAGCACTACTTTCTGGCATGCCATCCGAAAATGTCAAGGGCATGCAGAGTGCTTTACTTAGCAGCTGCTCTGTCATCTATTGAATTTTGAGAGAGTTATCATCAGAGGCCTAATTTGAGCATATTTTAGAGACCCTACAAGCCCTCTAGAAAAGAGTAGGATTTTTGGTCGCATGGTGTTGGTAACTACGTCCAGATGGCTACACTTCAGTGCTGGGCAGTTCGGGCAGGGCTTAACATGAAGGCCGTTGTGTCTGCAAAGGCAGCTCCATCAGAAAGTGGCAGCAGCGCTACAGGGGCTGCAGAGCCTTATTGGGGGCGTCAGAAGGAGGTCTGATAGGTGACCTCATCACTCTAGGTCCATAAATTGTCTTGGTGCTGTACCTGGACCCAGCCTGTGTTCTGGAGCTGTGGCAGAGGTTACTGTAGAGTAGATCTGCAGCTGTGCTAAGCAAAATGACCTCATGTGCTGCTCTTCAGTATGCATGGCTGGGGCTGCTTCCTTCGTAGTAGTTTATGGCACTGTCTTGGAATCTGAGTAAGAGATGCATGCTATTTAGTAACTTCAGATGTTTGTGCATAAGTCTTCTTAATGCTGATTAAGCAAATATATCCCCCTCCCCTTTTTGCTGTGGCTTTTTTTAGGGGTAGTTATTTCTCCATGTAAAGGGTATTTGAATTTCTATGGAAACTGGACCACCTAAGTCCATGGAAAATACAATGAAAAGCTTGATTAAACTGGTTGTGCTGGTTTATCTAGACATCTCATTCTGGCATCTGTCCTTATTTCCATAGGTCTGGGGACCAGCACATCAAAAGAGGCGAAAGAGTACTTTGCAGAGATGGCAAGGCATCGGATACCTTTCAAATACTCTGGACCTGAAGATGATGCTGCGATCTCCCTGGTAGTGCAACAGTTTGTGATTGCTCTTAGAAAGTACTTGTACATGAATCATTTGGAGTTTTTCTAACTGTCCTACCAGAGCCTCTGTTTCAGGTGAAGGCGATTTGGCACACCTTGGGGAACGATGTTCTGGCATGGTATAGCCCTCAATTGTGTGCATTTGAAATGTGGTACAAGCCCTGTGATCCATTGCTATATGTTTGTGCTTTGATTGGTTTGCAATATAGAGATGCCCTATGAGCGCCAGAACATTCCAGGATGCCTCTGCATGCTTCTATAATGTGGAATTTTCTGTGCTGTTTTATATTAAGTTACCTACCTGCTATGGGGCACACCTAACAGTAGTGCTTAGATCTGAAATGGGTTGTCTAATTTTAAGGCAGTCTAAATTCATGGAAAACGTAGGAATCTGAAATTAGATGAAATTGCTGCCATTTGACGTTGTCAGTGACATACAATGACTGTCTTTTGAACAAGGGACATATTGTACTTTGTTAACTTTATGCCCGTGATTGTTCAGGTAAAGTGAGGACTCGGAAAGAAAGCTCACGCTGGTCTCTAAAAGTGGCTTTGATATTCTAGGCCTTTAGCAAAAAGAAAGTGGACGACCGAAAGGAATGGTTGACCAACTTCATGGAGGATCGAAGGCAGCGGAAGCTGCAAGGCCTGCCAGAGGTAAGTGCTTCTGGAATAGAAAGTTTCAGCAAGGCAGGATTTTCATTCTCTCTAGAAGGGACCACATTCAGCCTGTGCTGAAAGCGCTGCACTGGTTGCCAATAGCGTACCGGATTCGCTTCAAAGTGCTGGTTCTTACATATAAAGCCCTATATGGCCAGGGTCCAGCCTACCTGAGGGACCGCCTTTCCCCGTATGTTCCCCCAAGAGCACTACGGTCAGGGGCCCAAATTCTGTTAGCCATCCCGGGCCCCAAGGATACCAAACTAGCTGCTACTAGGACCAGGGCTTTTTCGGTGGCGGCTCCTACCTGGTGGAATGAGCTCCCAGGGGAGATCCGGGCCCTGCGGGATCTTATGCAGTTCCGCAGGGCCGGCAGGACGGACCTCTTCCGCCAGGCCTTGGAGTAGGAGCCGCCGCCCCTACTATACCACCACCGCCATGGTTTGGATGAGACCCTGAGGAAACATCTTAATATTGAGCCGTAGAAAGTGCCACTCCGAACTTCGGACCTACGATCTGCCATCTCTGGAATTATGAAAGTTATTGAGCACCATGTTTTAATTCAGGATGTTTTTTTAAATTGTATTATATGTTTTAAATTATTATGTTTTATTATGGCAAGGTTTTGCCTTGCCCCTGTAAGCCGCCCTGAGCCTATTGGGGAGGGCGGGGTATAAATGCGAAAAATAAATAAATAAATAAATAAATAAATGTTCAGATAGGATTATTGTGAACCGTATGTGTGAATGAAGTTCCAGCTGTTTGTCCAGGAAGTAACATCCTTACAAAATGGGGAAATAGAGCCTTTCCAGTGATCATTGTAGGCTCAGTGGTAAGCAATGCCTGAATGTTTTTAGAATGTATGTTAATTGTAGGAGTCTATTCAAGGATTGGGCTGATAGTGACTTAGTAAACATGTAGGGAGGTGGAGGCCGGCTTTGTGATCTGGTCAAGTATTAGATGAGGAATAAATGGGGGCCTGTGAAACTTGCAGAGGGGAATCACCACTGCTGAGCCCAGTGTGGAGCCACGAACTGTATGGTTGCCAATTGGCAATGACCCTGCCCCTTTGCAGAGGTGCCACCAGCTCTGGAGCCCTGTCAGCCCAAGTAGTGGGAAGGAAGGGCGCACCCAGGTGAGCATCACTAGCCCTCTGGCCACAGCTGCTGAAGGTCACCCCCCACACACAGAGACACTGCCCATGTGCACCCACGGCAAGGGGATCTGGCCACCTTTTCCTCCCAGCATGGCTCTTGGGCTGCGCGGCCACTGCCAGCCCAATGGGGAGCCCAGGGCTGGGCCGCCACCAGGCCATGTGCAGCTCCTGGGCTACGTGGCCTCCACCACTGGGACCAACACAGAGCCCTGCCGCCGCTGAACTACTTTAGGTGACGTTCGTGCGTGTGCAGTTCAGCGTTTGCAAACAGGGAAATCTAAGCACTCACACTGGTAGGTTAGGGCAGGCAGGGGGAGCAAGCTATGGGAAATGTCAATAGAAGAAAGCATAACAATTTAAACTGCTTTGTCGTGCAGGAGTATTTATATGGGAAAGCAACCAGTTCTCTGACGTACAATAGCTTCATCAACAAGGAACTTATTCTGTTTTCCAACATGGACAATGAACGATCCATTCCTTCCCTGGTTGATGGTAAGTTTTGTATTATAGACTCCTAATTCTAAATCAACCTTTCCTGTAAGGAAAAGGTTTTCTACCAATAAACAGTTCTGGCCAAAATGGAGCAAGTGCTTTAGGAAATGTCTTAACACTTATAAAAACCAGTTGTTGCGATAAGAGGTGGACTGCTGTTGGCATTTAGCCGATGACAAGTTCAGTAATATTTCACTGTTGTACTGTGGGAGTAATGTGATGGATTGTGGGGTTGACTTCCTTTAATGCATTTTGGGCATAGATTCCATATTCATCATGATTTTTTCTGACTCTTCTGGCCCTGTACACTTATGGAGAGACCTTGGGTCTTTAGGCTTCTCTGGCATTTTGACTCCTAGCCAAGGAGCAACATGCTCAGTGAAGACACTTTCTTTCCCAGGAGGAGGGGTTAACCCATTGTTTCTTGCCAATGCCATGCTGTAGTGGTATCTTGGTGGTGGTAGGTTTCTGAGCACATTGACATTAAAGACAATTGACTCGGCTGTCAAGATGGTAACCCAGTTTAGCAGTTAAGCCCACAGGGATCTTGCCTATTGCGTTAATAATAGTACTTTTTATAGACATAACCTGGAGGTGCTAGTTAAGGAAAAAAGAAAGCTTACGGCTGACTTAAGCAACCTGTTGATCACTCCCATCAGGACTGAAACCAGGTCAGAGGAAAGTTATGTTCACCTGCTTCAAAAGAAATGACAAACGGGAGGTGAAGGTTGCCCAGTTGGCGGGATCAGTAGCAGAGATGTCTGCTTATCATCATGGAGAGGTAAGTAAAACCAGGGTAGGGACTGAGCCCTCCCCCCAGCAGCAAGTAATAGCAGCAAAACTTCTGGGCGGGGCTAGTGCTTGTGTTCTCATGATCCCAAGCAGGACTGCCTTCCCTGTAGTATTAATATTCCAATAAATCAAATTCTGTGAGTTTTGTGCAGGACATACACAGCTTGAAAGTTTATGTGTCACCTTATTCTCTGTTGGTGGTGTAATGCAAAATAGCCTCCATTTTTTGTCTGCTTGCAGTGGCTTGACCAAACTTTAGTCAAAGAGGATTCTGGGTTCTTGGTAGGCCTGGAATGTGCTATCTAACTATGCTGCTGTAAATCTTAGGGTCCTAGAGGCGCCTGCAAGTCTCTTAGTGCCTCTTAGTTCCCCTTTAAGACTTGCATGGCTCTGATAACGGGAGAATTAATGACCTTCACTCCCATGGCTGTACCAGCTGCAAACCCTTAGCAGTGTGGCCTTGGCGGCCATTAATTCATTAGCAACATTCCCAACTGATTGCACCTGTGATGGGAGGAGGGAGTCGGGTTATCTTCTAAAAATAACTTTCGATTCCCCAGAACTGAAAAACAAGTATTATGGGATATTCTGGTTACCTTAGTTACTGGCACCTGTGACATCACTTTGGTAGGGTTGTGAGTGGCTACCCGGCCGGAGCCCCTCGTGACCCCCCTTTTCTATAAGAACCTATGCCTTTGGTAACCAGTGTGGATTCTTTGGGTATTTTGGCCAAGCCTGGTCAATACTCAAAGCAACCCGCCATAATGCCTTGAATATGTGGATTTACCATCTTGAGGGAAGATGCTGTGTGGACTTATACTTTGGGTCTATGGACTATTTGCCTCTTTGGAATCTGTACGGGTAAAACCCTATGTGCTTGCTGCTTGTAAGTATAGCTAGGCTGGTTATGCTTAGATTTGTTGTTTTGTTTCCTCACTACCTATGTCTCGTGTTTTATTAACTTTGCACAATTTATTTAAATAAAGAAACTATATTTTTTACTGTGTCTGGGTTACTTGGCCTCAAGAGTTTTCAAAGCCTAAATCCTTTGTCTAAGACTGCTTGGTTGTCCTACTACCAATTTGTGTTCTTGCCCAGCCCTGCTGTGGAGACGGCAGAGTTTGGTTTGTGAACTGTGTTCCTGTGTTAAGACTGAAGTTTTCTAGTCACTTTGCTCCAGTCTAGTTGGGAACTAAAAAGTGACTTGGTGGCAGATACCGTTTAGTAAATTCCTGTGCTTTGTGTCCCTTGCTTTAGCAGCCTTGGGTTCTGGAGAGGACCCCTGGTTGCTACAGGTGGTCCTTCATCCTCTGACCAGTGACTGAAGGCCACTCCCATATAGAACTGGTTGTTCTTTCTGGAAGAGATGGGGAAGCAGGCTTCCAACGGCTATTGGTTGTCTTGTTCAGGCTAATCTTTCCCTTGCTGAAAATTTCCTTACTGCTCTCTTTGACTTGGCTTCCTGCTTCTGCCACATCTTCACTGGTTACCTTGTAGGCCTGTGCCACTCCTTTGGGGGTGTCGTTTTCTTTGGAGACCTGGTTGTGCTTTTCAGGTTTTGTGTGGGTTTTGTTTCAGGCCTCCCTGATGATGACTATTATCAACTTGGCTCAAAACTTTGTGGGTAGCAACAACTTGAACCTGCTCCAGCCCATTGGTCAGTTTGGCACCAGGCTGCACGGTGGGAAAGACTCTGCCAGCCCTCGATACATCTTCACAATGCTCAGGTTGGTAGCAGTCCCTTGTCCAGACAGCCTCCTTTTGGATGGTGGTTGTGGGGAGTTGGTAATGCAGCTGAACAGCTACAGAAGTGGCTTAAATGATCCTGCCGGGCCTGCGTTTGTGTTCTGGTTTTGTTTTGTTTTGTTCAATTTTTTTAATTTTTCCATCATAAACAGACAAATGGGAAATAGGATCATTACAGCTTTAAGACCTTCTTGTCTCTAATTCCTTACAGAGATTTCAAAACTATTCCAGTATTCTTGTCAATCCAGTTATATAATTTCACCCAAGTATTTTGAGAGGCGCCATCTTCTCTATCACGAAGCTTTTGAGTTAAACTGTCCAATTCGGCCACTTCCAGAACTTTTGTTATAAAGTCCCATTTATGTGGTAGTTCTGCTTTCTTCCATTGCTTAGCCATCGTCATCCTTGCCACAGTTACCAGATGTAGAAGAAGATATTTATCATTTTTCTTTAAATTGTCTGGTAATACATTTAACAGAAAGATTTCCAGATCTAAAGCTATCTGGCCGCCCAATACTTGCATTATAATCCTACTAGAAATAATGCCCGTTGCGGGAATAAATACAACAGGATCTAGAAAGAGGCTCTGGGAGAGTGCTCTGGTTTTGGGCAAACAGTGTCAGTTTCCTGTGGCGACCTCAGCAGGGTTTAATGACAGAGTCCACTGTTTTCTCCAGAGGGACTGATCTCTGCTACCTGAAGAGCATTTGTATGTTTGAGTTATCTGTAGCCCTCACCTGGAGAGTGGTAACCATTGTTACCCATTCTCCTCTCCCCTATGAGGTATGTTATGCAACTGAAAATTCCAACTGCCTTGCGGGGGGGGGGGGTTTGAGGTGTGGAATGGACTGAAGTCCAATCAGCTTCCATATGCAAAAGACCAGGTTGTCGCAGCAGTTGTGGTGTGGGCAGGACCCGGGCTTTGCCTTCTGATTGGTGGCGATATATGCTGAGGAGCAGTGCCATCAGCCATACACTAAGGGAGTGCATTTTAGAATTAGAACTTTGGCACCCACTATTCAATTATATATAAGGAGAGATGTACCTCTCTCCAATATTTCTTTACTTCTTCACAGGTCCACCAAGTGTGGTAAAAAGAGCCCACTTTAGAATTACATTTCCAGCATTTATTACTAGTACCAGGATAGAAGCGAGCTAATTTATCAGGTGTAAGATGCCAGCGGTGATATATTTTAAACACATTCTCTTTCAGTGGAATAGCATTTAACCACTTCATATTCCTCCCCATCCTCTCCCATTTTTCAAACAAAATGATATGCCGCACATTTTCCCCCCATTCTATCATTGTTACCTTAACCGTTTCGTCCTGCATTTTATAATCTAATAATACAGCATATAATTTCCGAATTAATTTGTCATTGGAACCTAATATAATTTTATCAAGTTCTGACATGGTAGTGGAGAAACCCAACTGCTTATCCTTCAAATACCATGACTGCAGTTGTAATCTTTCCCACCAAGAAAGCTGTATGCCCTGTGTTTGTAAAATTTCCTGTGATTTTAACTCATTATTTTTGTCAAGCAGAACCTCATAACTCAGAGCACATAATTCTGTCATCAGACTTGGCAGGGAGAGGGGTACCACCCATTTTGGAGTTCTCCTATAAAAGGCTAATTTCACCTCGTTCCATGTTTTCAGTAAGGCCGCCCTTTAAAAATGCTGTTTAAAATAGGAATACATATCTTGCTTGGCATACCCTAAAAATGTGTGCCAAGCCTAGTAACAAGTTGTGACCTTCAAGACTAAGAATTCTGGGGTTGTCTAAACGTATCCAATCTCGAATCCACATCAACGAAG